CTCCTACAAAGCTTTAATCTTTATCACTCTATCAAGTGTTACTTTGAAATTAAAAAAAATTAATTTCAGTTTAAAGCAACTAATCTTGGCTACTCTCAACCTTCAGCATGAAATAACTCATTTTCTAGGCTAGCTAAAACACAAATAAACAACAAGTGTTTGCAACACTGTTTTCTACAAAACTTTACCATGAGCAATCCAGCAGCATGAAAGCAGTTCTGCACCTGGGGATGAAATATTTCCTATCAACAGACATAGTTTTTAACATCAGAAACACCAGGGCTTTGCTGCAGGATACAGACCACAGAATTCCTCATTACCCTGTCCAAGTCTCAGCTACAGTAGCACTGCTTTTTTAATGGCGTTCTGTTTGAAGTTTGGCACAGTCTGTAGCAGCATCCCTTTATATCAACAGGCACTTGGAATCTCAGCTTCACAGGATACAACCAGATCATTACATTCCCCTGGCCTGGCTCTCTTTCCCAACAGCTCCAGCCTGTGCCTGATGCCATGGGTGACAGCAGGGTGACAGCAGGACACATCACCCTGCTCGTACAACACCCCAGACTTCCTTTCACAGAATCACTGGGCATTTTATCAAACCCAGTGCAACAGACTTTCTAGCCCAAGCTTGTTCCCACTAACTTAAAAAAGTGAATTAAGAAATAATTAAGTCTGTAATTCCCCTTTACATTGCATCTCACCAGGTAAAGGGGAAAGAAAATAAACAAGTTATTTTCATTTAAACAAAAGAACCCAATACTTAGTTCTCTAGAGTAGGTCTCCTCAAACGGCAGCTAAGTTTGAGGTGAACTTAAACTCCTGCCAGTGCCCCTGGGCAGGCAGAGCTGCTGCTGCAACCGGGAGCTGAAATGCCCTTCACCACAGGTGAAGTAAATAAGCAAAACAGCAGAAATAAAACACTCCAAATAAAAATCTCTGGATTAAGAATTACATACAGACCAGTGTTATGGCTCAGGTTTACAGGACTTGAGATACAACCTGCTGCTTAGGACACCTGGATTATTGGTGCAGGAGCTTGACTACAGCTGCACATGGAATTTCAGATGCCTTTTCATAGGACAATTTCTCCTGGTGTATCTTGTTCACTTGAAACAACCCTCACAGCTGGGGGAAACAAAACTGCAACACATTTTTTTGATTTGAGGTTTGTTGTTTTTATTTCAATTCCTATCCTGATTTAGAGCTTTGTCAAAGCAGAAACAGAACATTAAACCCCACTGTTATGTCATCGTATTGGGCACATATTTGCAGGGTGCGTGAATTGATAATTACATTTTCCCTTGTTCTAAAACTAATTTTAAAATGGGTGTGGCCGTCCCGCCAGTTCAGTGAGCTGAGACAACAGAGTAAAGCTGTTCCCAGATCAATGCAGCCACATTCCTCCCTAGCCACCCGTGAAGACCCGCAGCCCCGCTGGGGGCAGGAATGGGGAAGCAATTCCTTCCTCTGGCCACTCTTCAGCCCTCGAGTAGGAGAAAAGTACCCCCGAGGTGAACCTCCCCGGGAACTGCGTTTTATCCCGGGAACAAAAAGGCCCAGAAGACTCATTCCTTGTATTTTCATGTATCCTCGAAATAATCAGGAGGCAGTTTCTCTTCACTACCAAGGGAGATCAGTAAAAGAGGAAATCCTCAGATCGAAGTTTCCCAGGGCAGGCACTGCTTTAGTTATTTATTTGCTATTTAGAGATCTGCAATAGCATTTATGAGGTGAGAAGAATTCATCTTTATCAACCCCCAGCCCTGGGCTAATAGATAAGTGAGAACTTTTCAGATAAGGCTGACCATGATTTAGAGGACTTTTAACAACTGCCACATTGATGGCACAGGTGAATCCCTTAAACTCTCAGAGAAGCAGGTCAAGTTTTATCTCAACCCGTTTTTAACTGTCAGAAAATCTGCTTTTAAAGAGAGAGTCTGCTATAGCTGTTTACAAAACTTGCATGATTTAAGGTCCAGGCAAAGAGTAGGCAAAGTTGAACAACACTTTTTAAAAATACATAATCCCTTCTAGTACTTCCCTTCCAGAATATTCTAAATGAGGAACACTACAGTCTTCGACCAAAATTTGCACAGAGACCCTCTAAACTCAGGGGATCACTACATATCCATCAAACCAGCTTTGGCCTGTAAGCTGCTGATTGTCTCCCCAAATCCCTCCAGCTTTATTCCATTTCCCTCCTTCCAGCCTGGAGTGCTTTTCCCTGGACCAGTACAGTAATTCCTACTACTCTTTCATCTAAATCCCCTCTAACCCTTTAGATGGTTTGTGAGATACTGACTCACAGGCAATTTCTTATCTGAGGCATCAGAAAAACTGCCAGATATTTTCATATTTTCAAACTCAATTGGTGTCAAGAAATTTCTAAGCCAAGAGCAACATTTTCTGTGTTATAACTCAGGGAACATAACGACGAGGGACTGTCAAATGCAATTCCTAACAACTGTGTGAACAGCACCACTAAAGCAAGAGGAGGAGGAAAAGCCAAACAAGAGGGGTTTGTATTAAACCAGCAAAACATACTCAGGCCTGTGAGTAAGGCAACAGCTGCGGCTGCTCTGGCGAGACACACACGAGCAGAATGAAATGATGCAGCTTAATTTTCAAAGTGAAACCAATACTGTAGCTGTTGCAGCAGGATTTTTTTTTATTTTAATGCAGAAAAGAATATATGACAACACAGAAGAAGAATAACTAAATACAGCCGGGGTGCTTCATGAACTACAGATATTTCATTCTGCACTTATATTTATTCTTATTAAATAGTGTAAGTCTAAGACTCTACAGTCTCAAATGTGTAAGTTCTTTTATTAACCATACTTAGGGAAGTACTGCACTAGTTTATGAAACTAATCACAATTTCTAGAAGGTACTGGAACTACAATTCAGGCAGCACTGAAGTTATCCAGAATAATCCTCAATCTGTTTCATCAGGTATCTCCAAACCTTGTGGGTTTCTTTGGAGGTCACATAGCTCTGGTCCCTGCTGGAGCTATTTCTTCCACCTTTTTCAGCTCTCACTCCCCAGGCCATATGGTGGGTCTTGCTTCTTAACTCTTCCTCCCTTCCCTCAGTATTCCTTTGGTTAGGAACTTGAAACTTGTTTAACAGCTGAGGTTCCTTTCTGCTGCACACCACAGGTCCTTCTCCCCATTGCATGGGGTTTATTGTAGTGTAGCCCCGTTATTTCAATGAGTTTCATGTGCATCCAGCTCTCCTGCCAGCTCAGACATAAGGTGAGTAGATTTACAGCACAGCTGGCGAACCCCAGGAAAGGCTGGCCTCCTGTTTATCATTTCTCTGCTCTATCCTCAGCCATAAGACCCCTTTGTTTTTCCCTGGACAAGCACTGGTGCTGCTCTGACTTCATAAGCTGGTTCAGGGAGCAAATCTCTTTGGGGGAGGGAATAAATATTCCTACTGCCTTAGGCCCTTTCAGCAGCAGATACACTACATCTGCTTAGAGAAATGGTGAGAGATGACTCTGAGTGTGCAACTTCAGAGAAAGAAGTTTTGTTTTGAAGGAGTCGTGTGTGCAATGTGCTCCCTCTGTGCTGGAGAGCTGCCAGAAGAGCTCTGGCCTCCCCGCATCAAGGACAAACATCAGTGCCGTCTCTCAAAGGCACACAACTGGCACTGCTGGAGAGCCACAGCTCTTCAGACCACATCACCCAAACCTCGGGCTGCTCTGGATCCTGCAGGGGCAAAAGGATTACATTGGACAACCAGAAACATCCCTGGGCTGCCCATTATCTCCATAGGCTTGCGTGCTGTGCCCCTTCTCCGACACACCCTCTGCACAGCAGAGACCTTCCCGACCCCTTAGTGTCTGCACTGGAGTTGGAACAGTTTCTCCTACGGAGACTTTATATTTTGGTTTTTCTGCTTTGGCTAAAAAACTGGAGCAGAAGTGAAAATATGACCCTTTCTCGGGTTGGTAAGCAACGGGGAATCACTCGTTTTGCATTCCTTGCTTTACCAAGGTAAAATAGGACCCAAAACCGCTCAGGGAATTGAAAGTGCTGTTTCAAGCGCAGCTTAAAGCAAACTAAGCCTGCACTGCCACCGAAAGGGGCAGTCCCGCTCTCCCTGCCACCTCCTGCGCTGGCATCAGCCGGCTGCTGCCTCTCCTGCTCTTTCTCAGTCAGACAGCGAGGATCATGTCAGAAGGACAAAGATGTCAAGAGCACACAGCCAGAGCGGGATCACCCTCTCACAGCACGGCCTCACCCCGCTTTACACCCGTCATAAAAAACTTCCAAATAAAAATCTTTCCACATATATGGTAACTCTTAAACACAGGTTAAACTTCAGCCTGTCCAGAGCATTACCTCATATTTATCACCACCTGTACCTCCTACCTTTAAGGCATTTCCAAAAGGTCCACCATCCTCACCTTGCAGTGCTTTGCCTGTTATCTCAACTTCTATTTATAGGCTATTTTTCCTGCATTAATTACCAGTAAACCCGCCGACTCGGCCTCTCTCCGTCTCCCGGCAAAGACACTTTACCCCACAGGCTCCCTCTGATCCCCAGCAAGAGGAGTCCCGCACAGCACCGAGCCCTGCTGGGCGGCAGGGCCGAGCTCCGAGGAGCCAAACCCTGGGGCTGAGCCTCCACCTGCGCTCCCGATCAGGGACATGGGCTCGGAACCCCCCTGGGAGGGCCGGGCGGGACCTGCCGCCCTCGGCTGATCCGCGGCCGCCTGCAGGGACCCCGCGGCCCCTCGTGTCCCCTCAACCCTCCACGTCCCCCGAGGGGACCCCCGCGCTCCTCAGCCCCAGTGGGACCTCCACGTCCCCTCAAGGGACCTCGAGTCCCCTCAACACTCCACGTCCCCTCAGGGGACCCTCCTGTCCCCTCAACCCCAGCGGGACACCCGCTCCCCTCAGCCCCGGTGAGATCTCCCCGCCCTCAGCCTGGTGGGACCCCCGCGTCCCTCCCACACCGCACACCCCCCCGCTGACCTGCGGCCACCGGGGCTGGGAAACGGCTCTCTCGCCCCCGGGAAGGGCAGTGAGGAGGCGCGGGGAGCCCAGCGCCAGCCCGGCCTGCGACGGCGGCGAGCGCGGCGCCTCCACCAAGTTTCCGGGCGGGGAAGAAAGTCGAAACCTACGTGAGAGAAGGAGGAGGAGGACAGCGCAGCCGCCCAGGTGTCTGTCGCCCGCCCGGCGCGGCTCTGCCCTCCCCTTCCCTCACACCGCCGCGCTCTCCTCCGCCTCCGCCACCGCCCCCCGGGCCGCCCACACACCCGCGGCAGCCATGGCCCGACCCGCCAGAGGGCGCTGGGGGGCGCGGGGCACGGCCCGGGCCTCGGCTGCCGCTGCTCTCAGGGCACCTCCGCCCCCCTCGGGGCACTCCCGCTCCCCTCGGGGCACTCCCGCTCCCCTCGGGGCACTCCCGCTCCCCTCGGGGCACTCCCGCTCCCCTCGGGGCATTCCCTCTGCCCTCGGGGCACTCCNCCCTCGGGGCACTCCCGCTCCCCTCGGGGCATTCCCTCTGCCCTCGGGGCACTCCCGCTCCCCTCGGGGCACCCCCGCTCCCCTCGGGGCACTCCCGCCGCCCTCGGGGCACTCCCGCCGCCCTCGGGCCATTCCCGCTCCCCTCGGGCCATTCCCGCTCCCCTCGGGGCACTCCCGCCGCCCTCGGGGCATTCCCTCTGCCCTCGGGGCACTCCCGCTCCCCTCGGGGCATTCCCTCTGCCCTCGGGGCACTCCCGCTCCCCTCGGGGCATTCCCGCTCCCCTCGGGGCATTCCCGCTCCCCTCGGGGCATTCCAGCCGCCCTCGGGGCACTCCCGCCGCCCTCGGGGCACTCCCGCCGCCCTCGGGGCATTCCCGCTCCCCTCGGGACATTCCCACCGCCCTCGGGGCACTCCCGCTCCCCTCAGCGCATTCCTGCTTTCCTGAGAGCACTCCCGCCACCCTCAGGGTATTCCAGCCGCCCTGAGGGCATTCCCACTGCCTTCGGTGCAATCCTGCTCCCCTCAGGGCATTCCCATTCTCCTCAGGCATTTCCAGCTCCCCTCAGAAGTGTTCCCGTTCCCCTCACAGCACTCCTACTCCAAGCAGGTAATTCCTACTCCCCTCAGGGTGATTCCCACCACCCTCAGAGGAATCCCTTCCCCTTCGAGGCATTCCCACTTCCCTCAAGTGAATCCTGCTCCCCTCATAACATTCCAGCTGCCCTCAGGGGATTGACTGCTCCCCTCAGAGGAACCTCACTCCCCTCAGGAGTGTTTCCATTTCCCTCAGGGCAATATCGCTGCCTTCAGGGGCATTCCCGCTCCCCTCAGGGTATTTCCGCTCCTCTCAGGTCAATTCTGCTGCCCTGAGGGCATTCCCTGCTCCCCTTGGGGCAATCCCGCTCCCCTGAGGCTGTTCCCTGTCCCCTTGCTGCCTGGGGTGATTCTGCTCAGGCCACTGCTCTGTGAAGTGTAGAAGGCTCTTTCCTTCTACCAGTGTTCTTAGGTCTCTGCCCTGGGGAAAAAAACCTGTAAAATAGAATATAGAGAGTAAACCTAGTGCTGTTCTGAGTGCAAGGAGCACATAGTAGCTCAGCTGGTTGAAAACCCACAAAATTTGGGGGGAAATTATTTTTTGCCCTTACATTCTGCCCATTCTTCTGGGCAATAAATGGAAGTACTGGCAATTGGGAAGGATTCTGCTGCATTTAATTTGTTGTCAAGGCAAACTGTAAAAGTTTAGAAAATGAGTGAGCCCGCTGCCAGCCCTGGTGCTGTGGGGCCATGGGGCACCTCGTGATGCTTTTTAAGAGCCAGGGAGGGGATGGCACTGGATACAAGGGAGTGCTGATTTCCCCATTGTTTCTATAAACTCTAAACAGGTCCAGGTTCCAGTGTTCACACTGAGGCAGCTCCCTGTAACTCTCATGCTTCAAACCAGTGGGGTTTAAAAGTTCTCAAGCTGTGTTAGCACTACATCCAAGGTAGGAATTCCTCCCAAAGGAAGGGACCAACCCCCCAAAATTCACCCCATCATATTTTCTGGGTTATAATTGCCTTCTCTGATTCATCACACAGCCTTGGAAATGCCCTTTCTGCAGATGAGAACATCCTGAGGTAATAAAGAGGATGATGTTTCAGCCAATAAAGAAAAAAAATGAACTTTAAACCATCATGTAGAGGAGGATCTAAGAAGGAAACCTTTGTACATTAAGAGTATGTGTGGAACTAGCACAGACCTGTCTGCATTTGATCATTTGGGAATGTCCCAAAGTTGCTGATACAGACCTAAATGGAGAGAGAAGGAAGTGCTTTCTATGCCCTGAAAACACCTTCTCTGCTTCAGCAGGGCTGGGGATTTATGTTATTCAAGAATATTCAGGAAATGTTGGTACAGAGAGAAGAGATCATCTTTTATTTGGGGACTGGAACTAGATGATGTTTAAGGTCCTTTCCAACATAAACCATTCTATGATTTTATTTCAGTTTATCCATTTTGTGCTAAATTTCCCATGTAATCTTTCTGGGTTTGTCTGTAATTCTGTCTGTTCCCTGGTTTTGTCTGTGGAAGTGTCCCAAGGAGGGGCTGTGAGCTGTGCTTGTCAGTGAGTGAGGGAGACTAGGAAATGCACCACCAAAAATGCAACAAGGCCCTTTCTCCTTTTCATTTAGACCATTTTTGGAAATCCACTGAAACTGAGTCACACCAGCAATCCATCTTTGCTCCGCAAGATCCATGTTACCACTGGACCTGAAGTGTCAGGTATTGACTGAGAACTGTGATCCACTTGTGCAAACCCATCGATTTTGCTTAGACTAAATGAAATGTTTGATAGTATTTCTTCTGAAGTACCAAGGCTGAGGAGAATGGATAACATCTATTAAACATTCTGAATGAAAAATATTTTAGGCATAAAGCTGGAAGTGCATTGCCAGCTCAGAAACGAGCACGAGAGCCTGGTGCAGAGACATCAGGCTGTGTCTGCACTGGCAGCCAACCTCACACCACAGCCTGGATTCACTAAGCCAGAACTCATTGATATTGAATAGTCTTGTGTGTAAACAGGCATAGCTTAAGCTGAGCTCCGTGGAGCTGGAGGTCTCCTGAGGGGAGAGGTTTAAACCTTAGCACAGAAGCACTCTTCTCCATGCAGCCTGCAGCTCCTCGGTGAGGACAGGAAATGCGTGGGTGAACTTGGGGCATCAGAGACAAACCCCGGGGGAATTCCTTTAATATTAGGAATTCTGTCTAGTTAGCACTCGCTGGAGATTTTTATCCTGTGTGCTGACCTGTTTTTCTGAATGGACAGTGTGTCCATCCATAATTAAGATATGGTGAAAGTTTATTGTATAAGTATGCTGGAATTTTGGTTTGGTTTTGCAATAAAGGAATGGCATTGAGTCATGGTTACTAAATGGATTCATGGAGGACACTGTTCTCCTGCAGAGCAAACACAAATGTAAGGAACTGAAATTAATTTCTGTTTTAGTCCAGGCAAAAGCAGCCACATTGTAAATAAGGCTGTGGCTTGATGACACAAAGCCTTTGCTCTGTTACTGGTTCCTACTTACTCCTTGTTCCTTCCTTGTTACACAGCCCTCAGCTGTGTGTGGTGCACTGGGAACCACATCGGGACACTGAAAAATGAACCAGGTGAGAATCTTTATAAAGATATTTTATGTAAAATACATAAACACCTTTAAAATAGGTGCATGTATTTTTAAAGCCAGATAGATCAGTTCCCCAGTCTGGTTTCTAATTCAGAGGTGGAATGGATGGATGAGATTCTTCCCTGCTGGTACAGAAGGAACAGTCACAAGAGCAAAGTGGTTAAATATGAGCCTGATCCTGGTGAAAAAGGATCCCAAACCAGAGCTGAATATTCAGTGTGAAAAGCATAAAACGGATTTCTCCACTGGATTGTTGTGCTAGCAGTTACTGTGTTGTGTAAATCTGCATGGCACTTTCAGATATAAATATTTTGCTTGGAAAACATCTCAACATTTGGGGGAGAAACAGTTTCTGGGGTAACTCTCAAATGGTAGCTTTGATTAACCTTATGCTGGTGAGAATCTCTGTCAGCTGTGTCTTCTCTCACAAAGCCCCCACTCTTATGGTCTTCACCCTATCGATTTTGAAACAACAAAATTCTTCTGCAGAACTCTAGGAGTTTTTATTTACTTGCAGTTCTGATTAATTACTTGTGTAGCCTTTGCTAACTGAAAAGACTCTGTGACAAAGTACAGCAATCTCAGTTCGAGCTTTTATCAGCTCTAACTGCTGATAATTTCCTGCATGTGATTTGTACAGTAACCACTGTGTGAGGAAAGATTATGGGCCACAGACCTGTGCAATGCATGTGCCAGGATTAAAATGCTTTCTGACAAACAGAATCAAAAGTATCAAATAAATACGTGTGGCTGTTTATAGAATATTAAAAATAATTTTTATTTCACATGAAGATTTAGAAAGCTTTTTTTTTTTTTTGTAAAATAGGAAAAAGGAACATAAAATTCAATAAGCAAACAACAGAAAAAATAACAGCAGGGAAATTGAATGAGAAAGCAAAATCACATCACACAAAGGTTTATAGATTAGTTTAATCCCATTGATGTTGCATAAAACTCGGTAACTGTGTGTGTTGCTGTCGTCCTCTTGTGGGAAGGTGCAAGGAATATATGACTGCACAGTACTAATTGGGGACTCAACTTTGATGTTTCATCACAAACAAACCTAAATTCCCAACCCACACACAAGAATGTAAACACAATTAGAAAACAAATCCCACAAACAAGGAGAGAGAGTCATCCCAGGAATTTATGATTAAATGGCCTGGAATCTCCCTTTTGTGGAAACCAGAGCAATAGAAGCACACGTGCATGAAGACACAGGGGATTCTGGTAAATCCAAGGCCCAAAGCACATTGTTTGCATCCATTCTGCCAGATTCTACAGCACTTTTGTTGCTTTGGCATTATTTTGTTATGTTTGCTGCAAATTATTGCTACCTGTGCACTACATACTGTAGGAAGCAGTCAGAGTCCCAGGATTTGGAATTTGTCTGTGGGAGCAACCAGAATATTAAGAAATATAGTATAAGAATCTTGCATGTGTTAGTAATGATTTAGGACTGTTTTACATTATCTTTCCTTGTGGTGTTTTATTAACAGTAGTCAGTTATTAATGATGTTGGAGTACTTTATTTGATGGATCTGTAGAATGTTTTCATTACATGTAAACAGATTGATTCCCTGCTTCCAGAAAAGTGCCTGTTGGCAGAAAGAGGGCAACTGGTTTTTCTTAGGAGGAGAATAACCCATCTGACTTTTTAGTGGAGCAGATATGACAATATAAGAGGGGGAAAAAAGGTACATGAAGCAAATCACTTTCCTGGTTTGCTGTCGTGATCATAGTGATGGCTTTTCCTAATTTTTAAATTACACTGTTAAAATGTTGCAGCTGCTTTGTAACCAACTCAGATTTCTTTGTATCATAATGCTTCTGTTGTAGGATTTTAAATGAGAAGGCAGGAATATATCACCTCCCAAGAAAGATACTGTAGCAATAGATAAAATAATATTCCATTGGGTCAACTTCGGGTCCCACTGAATTTTCTGTTATTTTACAGCACTGGACTTGATCTTTGGTGATGCTCAGCCCAAATGCCTTCACTGCCCTCCCTTATTGACTTCTTGAAGAAAAGAGGTAAGGTACCACCAAGATTCTAGCAATTATTTCTATAAAGCAAGTGTGATGTTCAATTTACTTTATAGCCTTTAATTGCAACACTGTTCTCTTAGTTGAAACTGATAACAGATACTAAGTAGATTTGATCCAATTCAGCAATATTATCAGTATAGTTCTGTGCCTGGGAGGTACTGCTGCTCTCTAATACAGACTATGAAGCAAATAATGTGTCTCTGAAGGGTTTAGAATTTGACCTCCAGCCACCTTTGTTCTGTTAACTGTTTAAAAACAAACCTGACTCTCGCAGTCTGTGTTTATGAGCAGACGCTCCTTGGGCAGGGGGGCCAGAGGAAAGGGCTGTGTATGTCAAGGGGTATTATCCTGTCCCCGACAGGAAACACTTCCCCTTGAAGTCCCAAGGGGACTGTGCAGCCTGCTGCAGTCTTCCTGGAGGAGCAGGAGGCACGGGAAGTCTGCAGCAGCAAACTCCCTGTCACAAGGTTTGGGAGCAGCAGCGAGGAGTGCGGGACACAGAGCAGAGTGAGCTATTTCTGGAGCATGTTCGGGTCTTGTTCACTCATTATTTCAATATAATAGATGAAGCACCTTTATTCTACAACATAAGTGTAAAATACTCAGTAGAGGTGAGCTTGGGGGTTTTAATCACCTTTCACTTGGAATCGTTGCTAGAGGATAATCTTTGGACAGTCATAGGGCCAGTTTTCTTCCAGCCTCCTTGGGAATGCAAGAGCTGCTTGCATTCTGCATGGCCACATAGTGTTCTTTGCTGGGACGGCATCTGCATTTGGAAAACTAAAGCAGAGAGCCCCTTGGTTCACACCACTACAACTTCTTTCAGGTCCTTTTCGAGAGCAGGATCTTCCAAAGTGTCTCTTTTTGGTGATATTTCATCCAGTCACACACCTGGATCCAAGAAATGACTGCAGCAGTCCTATAGCCATCACTGAGGGGACAGTGCTTTTTGACAGCTCTGCAAAGAATGTCAAAGGATAAAAATGAAGATCCCAAAACTCATAAAAACTGACAGGTTCCTTTCATCAATTCTCCATCAAGAGCTTGCTGCAAGCCCTTCAGAACAGCAGGTGCCAAAGCAATTGAAATTGCGCGTAGAAAATATCTCCATAGGGATCTCTGCTTTGTTACCTGATTTTCACCCACTTCTGGAATGGAAGAGAGACTCATGTCCATTAATTTAATAGTATTTAACACCATCCTACAAGAGAGTGAAGAAACATCTCAACATTAAGACATTAGAGAGGCAAAATGTACTAAGACACCTTGACGTTTCTTTTCTCATCAGAATTTTTGGTTACTAAAATTGCCCTAGAACACATCTGGTATTTACAAATCAATTTTTAATAACAGTAATATGCATCCCAAAGGAATGAAAAGAAGAATGTGGGATGGCTGCAAGTCTCATCAAGCTCTAACGTAGCGCTGGAGCCATACTAGTTAAACACACTTTTCTTCAAAACTCTGTTCAGGCAAAGTGACATATTTCTAGTGAGACTGTTCAGTCTCCACCAAGAAAACAACATGTCCTGAGGAAAAACAAGATCCATCTGAAGTAATTGCTGTGTGCTGCAGCTGGAGCTCTGTTTCCAAAAAATAGCTAAATATAAACATTCCTGAGTGAATGAGTGGGAAGCCAAGACTGCCCTGCAGCACAGACACCCACTGAATAGGATCACCTATGAACAAGTTAATCCACAGGAATTCATTCTGCCCCAGCACTGAGAAGGAGATCAGGAAAAGAAGCAATACAGCTGCTTAAAGTACAACTATATAATTAATAGGACTTCTCTGGAAATGCCTTTTTGGCATCTGGTACGAGTTATTTCCCACATTCCTCAACCAAGCTACTCCATACCCCAATGCAGAGGTTACATTTGTTTAGCTGTCAGTCAGGAACTCTGCACACATCCCCAGGGACCTGCAGCTCTGGCTGTTTTCTTCTGCTTGTTGCAGTACCACTGGAGGTGATGTGAGAAGGAGACACACAGCTTCATGATTGTGTCCCAGATTCCCGCCTGGAAAGGACACCACAACTCCAGGACTTCCAATGATCTTTGTACTTGTACATCACTTCTGTTTTTTTAGGTGCACTCTAGAATAGAAATCTAAAGTGTCACAGCAATAATACAGCTGTGAAAAAAAGAATAAACCTTTCCTAGGAATACTTTATTTTTAAAAATAATTCTGCCACCACTTGGAACTGGGTTTTGGCAGACCCAGGTGTTAAGAGTTCCATGCTTCTGCAACATGTACTTTAGGCTCTTTCCTTGAGAAATTCTGCAGAGTTGCCTCCTTAAATTCTGGACCAGATGCTTCACATTTTCTGAGAGCTTTCATGGATGTATTACATGAGTTTCTTGACCATAATTATGGATCTTGGCAGTAATGACAGTCCTCTGTGCTTCCCCATTAAGGTGAATTCAGATGCAGGGAATGGTGGTAAGTTCAGTAAAAAAACCCCAAAGGTACCGGCATTTGACACAGGATATTCCAACACTAATTCTCTTCCAGATAGTTCTCTCCCAGAACACTCAAGTCATCAGGAAACCGTTTTGTGCTTTTCTACACAAGGCTATTGATGGTGTTTTATGGGCTCATCCTGTCAAACAATGTGAGAGCCCTGAGAGACTGTTCCGAGCAGTTGTAGAGCCTGCCTTGAATTTAAACTATGCTTAGGGAGAACGACCTTGTTAAATACATTCTGGAGGGGAGTTAATGTAAGAAAACACACCTTTTCCATACAATGTTAGCAAAATGCTGCTAAGCCAGGTGAGTTTAGACTATGAATAATTTATCTGGCTCAAGTTAAGACTCTGCAGGCTGAAAATAATAAGAGAGTTTTGGGTAAGAAGTGTCTCCCTCCAGCCCAGTCATTCCTACTTGTATGAGCTTCAAAATACTGAGAGAAGAAAAATATAGTTACTAGAAAAATGGGGAAATTTGATTTAGATATGAAACAGTTTCTTTCAGAAATAGAATATCTCTGTGACTGCAGTTTAGATATTTAAGATCCACCTTTGCCTGAAGAGCCTTCATCTGTGTTTCAACCACCAAGTTTCTATGATGGACCTCACTGAGTATGTCATCTGATATATCCTGGTGTGTCTTCTGACAGAAAGGGAGCTAATATGAAACCTATTCAACTATCAAGACCAGAAATCTCACTTCTAGTATTATCCTTTTTACATTTTTTTGAAGATCCAACGGTCAAAGTAATGATCCTTATACACTGAAAACAAATAATAAAAATAACAAACAAAAAACCCCACCAAAAAACAGCCAACCGAACAAAAAAGCCAAACCCACAAATTCTACATCCCTGCTTGAGTGAGGGATGTCCAAACTATTGATCTGCATCCCAGGGCTTAGCTAGTTAAGGAGAATTTTGTGAACTGTGAGACAGAAATACATCCCAAAAAACGAATCACCAAAACAGTATTTCCATCTGGCTGCTCCATCTCCTGGATCCAGCAATTCTCCCCTGTGGCTGACAATGCTTTTCTTTGGGTTTTGCAGCTCACAGGACACCTTTTGATTTCTGGTCTAACTCCATTCCACATTTTCCATGGAAGTTCCCCTCTGCTGCTGAGTCCAGTAACAAATTTGCCTTCTTTACACATAACACCTGCTCCTTCTTAGTTTTACCTACGCATCAAAAAGCAGTTTGCAGATATTAATGTGCAGATTTGCCTCCTGGCAGACTCACAGTTTACAACTCATGTTGCTGACTTAGAAACTGAGGCAGGGAATTCAGTCACTACAGCCCAACAACGAACGTGTTCAGTAGAACTCAGGGAGCTGCTTTTATTCTTATTTACATCAGCTGCTCTATGTCTCTATTCTTTTGTTAATTGTGGAAATTTATTCAGCACTCTCTTGCTTTCTACAAAAGGGAAGGCTTCCTGAGTGCATTAATTTGCTGCCTGGGAGAGGAAGGCTGGTGTGTGGAATTTTTTGAGGAGTTTGCCAGATAAGGCCCCAAATCCAAGCCAGACTTGCTATATTTATCTCTGATACAACTCTCAGTTGCAGCAGTGATGTTACAGAAGCAGTTAATTTGGTGCTTAGGGTACAAAGCAAGGTAAAGGCAACTTGATACTCGGTAATTTTGTATTATGATACATTGGTCAGGAAATTTCACTTTTAAAAGGCTATTTTGTAAGTATATCACAAGAAAACTCTTTTCCTTGGTGTCAAGATGTTGCTTCCATGTCTCTTGGCACAGAGCAGTGTGTACTTGTCATGTTGCAATCTAGAGCAAAGCTTGGGTCAGGTCAGATAGCAATAAAATAAAAATCAGGGCCCAGCTGTATTAATTATGGTTACCTGTCTGTGCACAAACAAAAATGCTGATCCCAACACACACTGTGTGCTCCAGCAGTGCCTCTGCAAACAGGGGTGTTCTCTGCCTGCCCAAAACAACACCGCAAGTGTGGGCAGGGAGTTAAGGAGCAGGTAAAATACCTGTCCTTGTTTGACACCAAACTCAGGGGGAAAAGAGTTCTCAAGCCCTTGCCCTGTGTGGTCGGACTACAACAAATTAAGATGAGGTTACTCTGAACATCACAGCTTAAGTCCGACTGAGGAATAGACCATGTGATAGTTGAGGCATGAACTGTTCTTCCTGCTCTCTGCTCTCAAGCCGCTTTTATTTAAAAACAAAACAAAACAAAACAAAAACTCCTCAATGTCTAATTTTCCTTTTCTCTGAGGAATGGCTGGTTTTTTTGGGCCTTTTCCTGGCTACTCAGCATGTGCCCCTGTGGTGGAGAATAAGCCCTGCTCAAACCCCAGGTTTTGCAGTGGTTTCACTGCTTCAGCAAAGATATTTGTGGGTTTTTTTCCATATCAATTAATGCCTACAAGCATAGCAGGTAAAGTGCTTATATCCTGCTGTTCGTGTTCCAATCCTGCACTGCTGTGAGCACACACACACTGATAATATCACTTACTCTTGGACTTGTATTCCCTCACCTGTAACA